CAAAGGTAAAAAGGGAAAACGAGGTAGACCTTTCAAACGTTGGATTGATAATATTAAAGCTGCGGCAGGCAATACATGGACAAGAGTAGCAAATGATAGGGCAAAATGGCGCTGGTTGGAAAAGGCCTTTGTCAATTAATACAGTACATACAGACAGGATGTTGATGCACTATCGAAAATAATCATGTTAAAAAGGTTTTTGTTTGAATAAAAGGATTTAATTATTATCAATACATAGTATAAAACAAAGTCGCTTTCGCTGTATGTCCGTATGTATGCTTAGATCTTTAAAATTACGCAACGGATTTTGATGCGGTTTTTTTTAATAGATAGAGTGATTCTTAAGGAAGGTTTGTATGTATAATACATGCATATTGCACCCGTGCGAAGCCGGGGCGGGTCGCTAGTTATTATTAAGTTTTATCATCAACAGCAGCCAGTGACAATCCACTGCTGTGCTATGGACCTCCTTTGTAAAAGAGGGCTCTACCGTAACCTCAACGCAATGCAAGCGGAGATAGCAGTTCAAATTAAAACTTTTACCTTCATTACAATTTAAAAGTACAAGAATTTCAATGCAAAATATACCTTACACAACTAGTTCATCTCTACTCCAATTTCTCTACAAACTGAACAAACAAACAATGGAACTGCTTCGAACTATTGTTCGGATCTTACTGAACTTTACAATGAAACTTTCAGACTTCCAGTCTCGTGTTTCACTATTAAAGTCTAGTCCAATTCAGAATTGATCTAATCTTTGTAGTCCTTCATTTCTATTTGTTTATCTGTGAAACATACAGTAATTTGATTTGAATTTTTCGGTTACTTGAATCCATAAACTTGCAATCTTCTTATTGGTTCCCAGAATTAATTAAAATTATTAGACCTGTTAAATTTATCATATTCAGCTTGACATTAGACCTATTGGTTTGATATTAGAAGGTGACAACTACTTTCCATGTTTCCATCATCAGCGCGTATTCGTCCACTGCTGGACATAGGCCTCTCCAATGGCACGCCACTGAGCTTGGTCTTCAGCTCTTCTCATCCAACCACTGCCAGCCACCTTGCTGATGTCGTCACTCCACCTAGCTGGAGGGCGCCCTACACTGCGTTTGCCTAGACGCGGTCTCCACTCTAGAACACGTTTACCCCAACGGTTATCGGTTCTTCGACAAATGTGACCCGCCCACTGCCACTTCAGCTTACTGATCCTTTGGGCTATGTCGATAACTTTGGTTCTCTGTCGGATCACTTCGTTTCGAATTCGATCCTTCAAAGAGACTCCGAGGACAGTCCTCTCCATAGCTCGCTGCGCGACCTTAAATTGGTGGACCAGTCGCATTTCCATGTTTATCTGAGTATTACCTATTTATTAGGTACTACAAAAACAAGCTTAAATAACCAAAAAAAAAATACGTGAACGGGTAAATTCTTAGTAAAAAATGTTGATACAAAATCCTTTTCGTGATTCGTGTATGTTTTTTGAATATAATTATAATATTATGAATTTAAATCGTAAATTGCGACACGTGCCATGTCACCTGTTCTGCTTCGTTCAGTAAGCTCGGTTAAGCCGTAAACCCGCTATCCAATCACACGTAAGGCTACGTTCACATTACATCACATACATGGTGATTAAAGGGAGAAATCTTGGAAATAAAATACTATAGACATGACCCTTAGTAACTAACTACTAAGGTTCATATTCACATTAAAGGAGGCAAAAACAGGCCCTTAAGTTCCATTCCATCTAGTGCCTAGTGTTAAATGATTTCTACTATGTGCACGTGATTACATGAAGTACCTAAGTACCCAATGTAATTGTATTAGAAATGAAAATTAGAAAACAACTATTGAAAATTCATGTAGGTATTAAAATTCAATAGCATTCTGTGATATAAATGATATAATATCTTTACTGTGAGCGAAATACACAATTATAAGCTGGAATTAACCACCTGAGACCGCTAATGACGTTAATTTCTATTTTTATGTGGTTTTATTTTTTTTTAAGGGGGGAAAATCATCGAATGTCTGCTCCTGCCTGGGTGAGGCGGGAGGCGGAGTGTCAGATTCTTACTGACTAAAAACCACCCCGTTCCTTCTCGTGCACGTCGAGCCGGAACCCCGGTTATCCGTTAGGTTCTCTGCGATTTTTTTATGGGATAGCAGGCCAACAAGCAGACGGATCACCAGGTGGTAAACTACCAGCGCCTGCCCCTCGACTCCCGCAACATTAGAGGAGACACAGATGCATTGCTGGCCTTTTAAAATGGAATACGCTATAGGTTTGAAAATATCGCCGACGACAGATACTTCCATAATTCCGCTGTTTGGATGGCTGTTCTGCGGTTTCATGGATCTGTTTTATCTATTATGTCATGGATCATATCATATCATAACATTATCATTCATATCATTTATTTTAGAAAAAGTGAGTCGACCACATGAAAACATGATTATTGCAGTTATTGCGTTCTAATTATTACAGAATTCTATGAATTTTAATATAATGTTATATATAATGTTATAGAAGGGGTATAAAAAAGTGCACGTTAAACGTACACCTTTTTATTATAATGAGTCCGATACAATTACAAATAGAATAAGCAACATTTAAAATAACTGAAATAATAAAGCGCTTATTGTATACGTTTTCCCTTCGTAATAAGCAATTTTCTTAAGTAATATTTTCGGTAAGCAATTTCTAGCTCTAGCTCCCAAATTCCTAACAAACAAGAATTTTGGAACTGTAAAATCGAGTCAAATTATTACAAATATTGCATAAAGTACCAGCCAGCGGCTTTTTCTACATTTCTGTGGGATAAACAGCCTATGTGTTATTTCTGACCATAAATATAAGCCTTCTTTTTTATGTTCCAAATTTTATCTAGATCCCTTTAGCTGTTTACAAGTTATTGAATAACAAACTTACACACAAACTCACTCACAAACGCATTTATAATAGGTACTACTAGGATTATAGATCAATACTAATACACGTATACAAATAAATAATAAAAAATTCACTGATAAAATACAGAGACACGAAATATGACATTTAAAACACCTTTTATCAATTTTTGCATGAATGTTTGTAAACAATGTCACAGTTCTGATACGGTTACAGAGATGTACTTACAGATATTATACACGCAATGACTCGACTATTGTGCATAATAATGATAGATAGCATAAACATAATAATAAATATAGTAAATGACCATATCACATTGTACTGGGACCGGTCTATCATTACTGACAGGACTATTGTAGCCAATAAACCTGACATAGTGGTGATAGACCGATAAGTACGCCGCACGATGATAATCGATGTCGACCATTCCCCATTACGAGAACCTCGTGAAAGATACTAATGATGTACAATGGATGAAAAGAGAATTAGATTGTGTCATATAATTGGGCTGTAGTCCATTAGTGTAGTACGATTTTGTCAACGATGCCACTACCCGTATAATAAATATGTATTACAATAAAATAGTAGTATATTAAAACTAAACAACAAAAAATATGCAATTTGGTTTATTAAAATACATGGTATCGGTAATAGAAACCAATGTTGTAGGTAATACAAGTAACACGTACGTAAGTTAGTATTATACTATTGTATTATTATTAGGAAACTGTATAATATACCAATATTTTTGTACTATATTTTTATATAAATATATTTTTGTACATAAGAAAAAATAAGTGGGTACTATTATATACTTGCATTTCGCCAAACGCCAAATTTGCCTTTTGCGTTCCTTAAATTTGAATTGTGGAATTTATTATACCTAAGCGTTATATTTACAACTTTGCATAGGTACAATCAATTATTATAGAAGACACTAGAGTTTCTTTACCGAAAGAAAATGTGAAGTCAAAATAATCCATTCGTCTATTCAATCACAAGTACAAACTCAATAGTCAATTGCAAATGGGTCTAGGTCTATTCATGTGAATTTATTTGAAGGCGGCGTTGAATGCGCGGGAGTGGCGTGATCCCGAACGACGCCGACACATGACAATCATGCGCCGATCTCGATGTAGAGCACTCATTGTTTGCAATAAAAGGTGACAGGTCGAGACCTTACCACAGGACAACAATCGAATCCTTTTTTTAGTATTAACCTCTTTATCGATCAATGTAACTTTATCGACACTTTCTTATCGATAATTTAATGCCAATGTAACTATTTAAGTGTTAATTTATTACTTTGTGAATGTTTATTTGTATTGTTATGAGATGTACCTATGTATTTATTTTATGAAAAAACAATTATTGCTTACATACTTAACATACGTTTATGCTATATAATATGTAGAGGTATACACTTTTCATAATTAATGTTGTTACTCCCATCCATCCCCCTACAAAATCGCTTATTTTGATATTGCTTAAAGACGTTTATTTCACAATACAATCAATCAATTAAATTATGTGAATAAATCAGTTAAGGTAGTATGGTACTGATGGTACTTTTCAGGTAAATTTGTCTGTAAATGTTTTTTTGGAAATACAGGCTTTAGGTACTGCGTTTTACCAATAGATATGATATTGATTTATACGGATCAAATTTTACAGAACTATTCGTAGCGCAAATATTTATTTTTTTGATTTTATTTAAAGGATCGGTATTTATATTTTTTTTCTATTTAAACTGTCAAACACCAAGCGGTCGCCGGTGACCGCAACCTATTGTTCTATAATTGTGTCTACAAAACCGGTACTCGACGAGTTAAACCATGTTTCAAGTTTAAGTTTTGCTTAATTTTATATCAGAAATCTTGTAATAGAATAAAAGTACAATTATGCAAATTTTAACGAGATGCAAAATTTTATGAAATGAATAGAAAATATTATAACACCAAAAATAATTGAAACAACTGCACATACGGAAATATCACTAAACATTTTCTTCTAAAATTAATTTCGCATTTGACACACTTTTCACTAAAAACCAATAACGTTAGAAAACTAAGCTTACCTGTACTTTTCTCAAAACGGTGTAATAGCACAACTAGAAGTAGAGGGTATCATCCACTCGATATAAGGCCTAGTTGCAGTCAGAGGTGATTGATGACAGGCGCACCGCAGAAGACTGGCAGTTGAATTTCCTCGCGACCGATTATATACAAATGCGATTTCGCTATGATTCGTCGGAGTCGCGGGAAGACCGGCGTGCGCGCACCGACATGACGTCACACAAGGACTAAGGGTCAAAATACACAATCCCTCGTGGTTCTGCTTATCCCAGTACACACTGAACTGTTATGTCGCGGTGACCCATCTTGCGTCATTCTTTGATCCATGTTCGTTATGAAGGCAAAGTCCAGTGTTATCATAACAGATGAACGTGATATGACACAAAGTCCATAACCATTGATGTGATATAAACATTGGAAAATTTATTGAAAATATCGTGTGCGGAAATATAAACCTAATGTTTAACTACCTAGTTTAAATAGCATATAGGTGATATTCCTAAACCATTGAAGTGAAACCTGCTATAGAGGTAGACTGGGATGAAAGACGAAAAAAGGGGTTCGTCATCAGGCCAATCCTGATTAAGTTACTATTGTTGAACGTAGACCTCTCAAAAATGCATCAATAAATTCCTAATCAGATGGTCGGCTACAAAGTCGTGATGCCTTTAAGTTACAGGTGTAAAATTCGTCTGATGATGAACTGGTATGTATGCTACGGTAACTGTTTTTCCGCGAGCTTTGTTGCTACAATTATATATAATTATTAAACTGCTTCAACTTTGTATTTTTATTATAATTACTAGTTGTTCCCTTCGACTTCGTTCACGTATAATAATGACTTCTGGCAAATTTTGGATTTTTTAATTAGTTAAAAATTAATTTTCAAGGTTAATTCCAATACTATGTAACAAATCTCATCAGAATCAATTCAATTATATTGATTGTGAAATGTTGTTCATTTTCGTGATTTCAAAAAATAAACGATATTATATTAAAACCTAAGTAGATACCTATGTTCATCAAGTTGTTTACAATTATCCGTTGGTGCGGTGGCTGGGCAATCAGCTATTTGTGTGATCCACAAATTGTTGTTTCGGGTCTGGGTGTCATGTGTATGTGAACTTGTATGTTTGTAAACGAACCCACGACACAGGAGAAAATCCTAGTGTGGGGCAACGTTTCTTTAGAAAGAAACAAAAAAGGATTATGTAGGTAATGTATCTATAATGAAACCAATAAGAAATTAGGCGGTTAGAAATGAACTGACTTTATTAAGAAGTATTGCCAACATAAAAACAGGGTTACGTTTTGATACACATTTTAATAGTATCGGTAAGTTTTATTTTGTTACGGGCTTGTGGCACCGACTTCTAAAGCATCAGTGGGTAGGCAGTACAATGAATAACTGTTATTTTTTGGTATTAAACTGTCAAACACCAAGCGGTCACCGGTGACCGCAACCTATTGTTCTATAATTGTGTCTGCAAAACCGGTACTCGACGAGTTAAATTTAAGGTTTTTAGTTTTTGGTTTTGAAATCGGTTTTTTAAACGCAGTTTTATTTTAATATTTTGCTTTTGTGTTTAATAGCTGTAGGTAAATAGTGAAAAGATAAAACTATTTGTTTTACCTTTTCAGTAAGTAAAATTTTGGCCACCTCTATTTAAACCGAAATTTAAACCTAACGAAATTTGTCTACTGTAATCAAGTCTTTTTAATAGCCAAAAAAAAACACTATTCTCGATCCATTCACTGAGCAGTTGTGCCTTCCATCATCAGCTCATGGTCATAAAATGATGATCATCAGACATAAAAGTTGAATGGCTTTAGGGAATAGTCAGAATAAACATCTTATTATGTTTTGAGGGTTGCCCTTGATGTCTCTGAGATCTCATCATCAAACGATCACCAGGTAGCAAAAAAAGAATCACGGAATTCGGATCAGAAATGTTTAAGTAATCGATGTACAAATCTATCCAGTATTATGAAAATGACATCGATTAAGTAGGTACTTATAATGCTCATAAAATAAAAACTACTGAACTAATCTGAAACAAATTTTTACGGGACCAAATTTCAGCTATTCCGCGTCGAACAGAAAAATAATCACTCATTCGGTTCATAAACCTCAACGTAATCAGTGTACATACTTACATAGAAAAGGAAGCAACAAAGACATACCGGCCGAATTGAGAATCGCCTCCATTTTTGAGAAGTGGTTAAAAAATAAATAATCCCACGGGGACTTTATCCGTATAGTATCGATTACCGTGAGGTTTCAGTGACTCAGTGACTCCATTTGAATTCCACTTAAATAAGTGCATCGGTTGAAAATACTTACTCAGGAGTCATTTTCCGAGTCTCAAACTATCGTTGTACCGAATTCCACTCAAACAAAACCAATAGTTTAAAAGATAGAGAGACTCAGAAGTTTAACGCAGTTCCCGTTTTCGTGGGATGTTCGGGAAGAAAACTGATATTTGATCGAACCATGATTCGGCATGTATTGGCCGGCTTGACCGCAGTAATCCCACGGCCTTACAGAAAACCAACGTGAAACAACGCCGACATAGAACAATTATACGTCCACTCCAGTGCCAGTGTCTCAAACTCTCGTTGAACCGAATTTCAATCAAATAGGTTCAGTGGTTAATAATATTAGTATTCAGCTTTTTAGCATACCTTAATGTTATATCATGATAACAAAAAAGTAAATTTTCAATGATCCATTGGCATGAAATTCACTTGTCAAAAATATGTCAGATAAAACTTGTTTTGTTACAAATTGACGTAATATTTTTATTGAGTGGAGATAGTTGAAAGGATTGTAAGTAGCAAAGGCTACAATTTATTTCTTTCTAACCCACCACCTCCATAAAACAAAGGATGGAAGTTTATGTGGAGTATTTCGTAAATTTCAAAAAACCCAAATTTGGTATCATATTCGTGACCAGCAGAACCTCAGGCACCAAATCTTTTTATCTTTTGTAAACCTGTACTCAATACTTTAAACAAGCGTGAGCAAAACCGTGGGCAGAATCTAAGTAAGCAGTGATTATATAATCACAAAGTCATAGGTACATTATTTTTGTATTTATTTAAAACTGACTGGTTATTTAGGTACCAATCAATAACCTAATACAATTCAATCAAGCAGAATGTCCTCGAAATATATTGAAACCATCTATCACCCGGTGTTCGCCTAAAATGTTTTCACTGTAATCTTTTTGCGTATTTTTTTAAAGTTTAAATATTAAACACCTAATTTTAATGTGCAAATTGTTTTTATATTAAATAAAACTTTTTGTAAATGACGGAAATAAAAAAGTATAAAGTACGTATATTAAAATAAAACACGTACCTAAATAAAACAATACGTAGCGTAGCATAATATTATATATAACTAAGTTATGTTTAGTTTTTTGCAATATGTTAAAATCTACATTTTTTTATCGTGACGCTGTTTTTAAACTGTTTTGTTTAGTTTGTTCGTTGGGCTTTTGATAGCTTTGGCATTTTTAGTTATAAATTAAGTAACTTTTCGTTGTGACTTCGTATCAAAAGCTATTTTACGTTCAAAATTTCAGCTTTCTGGTACGCACAAAAATTCGATTGTACCTTGTCTGTCCATAGGTAACGGAGACACTATTAAATATGGAGATACAAACAAAAGTGTGGGAGAGCCATGCTTCGGCACGAATGGGTTGGCTCGACCGGAGTGATACCACGACCTCACAGAAAACCGACGTGAAGCAACGCTTGCATTGTGTTTCGTCGAGTGAATGAGGTTACCGGAGGCCCAATTACCCTCCCCTTCCGGAATTGGAGAGATTGGCTCTCCAATTCCTGAATCCCCAACGATCCTCAAACTCCTAATCCCCAAAAGGCCGTTAACGCACTTGTAACGCCTCAGGTGCCTGGTGTCCATGGGCGACGCCGATTCCTTACCATCAGGTAATCCGTTTGCTCGTTTACCGGCTTATGCCATAATAAAAAACTAAGAACGTTCCTATTTTCTTGCTTTCTTGCCACTATTCTAATTGGGGTACATATTGAATGGATTTTTCAAAACAGTAGATATATCATTTAGATATTTATCATTTTTTTCATGTACATAATGTAGATGGCAATTAAAACGTGGCCCGGGGATTTAGGACCTCTTATGCATGAGGATTCGGGTCCGAAACCTATCAACGGTAAGTACCAAGGTGTCTTTTTCCGATTTATATGTGCTTTTTAAGATTATTTGTAAACTGATTTACTTTCTGTTTATAAGTTTGAAATTGCCAACCCGCATTGAGCAAGCGTGGTGATTAATGCTCAAACCTTCTCCGTATGAGAAGACTCCTTTGGTCAGCAGTAGCCACTTACAGGCAGAAAAACGTCTACTATCTGCGTTTTTAAACTTAAGTGTAGCAAGGATATTAAAATTATCTTATGAATTCACTTAAATGTTGTGTAGTTTTTTACAACTCTTTTGAATAAATTAGAATATTACGATCTCATTAAACTTCATGAATCTTAATTCTTAACAATTCTTGTAATGACTTACTTACGCTAATTTCAGAAATTTTAAAATTATATATAACACAATCATGTCCTTTATCCCAAAGGGCAGGTAGAGGTGCACATTACGCCACTTATTGCCACTGTACAATGTAACACCCACTTTGCACGATTTATGTTATGTAAGGAGTCCCATATAATAGGGGGTGAGCTCATTGCCATATATCAGACACAATAGGGTAGTTGCCTAAATTTTATTTTAATATCCATCTGGTAGATTAATTTAAACATTAGACACGTATTTTTTTTTTCTCACGAAATTAAATACTTTCGACGATATATTAATTGGAAATATCGTGTGACGTCACTATGCTCTACATTTTATAGCGCATAGTGACATAACAACCTCGCACTCGAAAACTTAACTCCATTTTTAATCTAAGTATTGTAACTTTATACGAGAAAATAAAAATTACGTGTCTAACATTTTTCATTATCTAACTGACAGACTAATTAGATTTTTAATTTTCATTCACTGGTAACTACCCTATTCCGGACTCTGTGCCGGACTGGTCTGTGACGTATATCTTTGCCGGACCCGGGAATCAAACCCGAAACCTTTTG